GGGGAGGAGGGATTCCGACGGCACCACCAGGCGGTGGCGGAGGAGGGGGAGGGGGCGGAGGAGGAATTCCCACAGCTCCCGGAGGAGGTGGTGGTGGTGGTGGCGGCGGCGGGGGTGGAGCGGGCGCCCCCTTGGCCTCGGGCTTCTCAATTTCACTCTCAACCTTGGGTTCGTCGGTGACAGGCGCCGTGGCTTCGGGAACAACAGGTGTAGCTTCGTTATCGTCTGCGTCGATCTTAGGTACCCTCGAGGCAATTTCTCCCAGGAGGCCGTTCGCCTGCTTAGGGTTAAGTCGTGGCCGATGAAGGTCGACCAGACGCGCCCTTTCATAGATGATCTCTCCGTTCTCATCCACCTGACCCTCCTGCTGCTGACCCTCGACAGTATCCTTCTCCATGCCGGCCAGATGGCTGCGCTTGCGCTGAACAGATCCCAAGCCCGCAACGTGATGAGCCTGGTCCTGGAACCCATCTTGCGGCTCAACATCGCCGTCCATTTGCTCACGAAGTTCGCGCAGCCGGTCTGAAGTTACATGTTGACCCCATACCTTGCCCTCCAACTTGAATTGGGTCTTGGTGCGTTCGAGTTGCATCTCCAACCGCTCGAGGAGCTTTTCACGGTCCATGATGCCCCTCATATGGGACGGATCGACTTCTGCGAGGTTGTTCTTCTTGGCATTTGAAGCAGCGATGTCCTGGGCATCCCGAAGCATCAGGTAGAGCTCTCTGGTTTCCAGTTCGTTCCGTTGCAACTCCTGAGCACGCAAGCGTTGAACATCGGCGAGCTCAGCCCGTATTGACTCCTCCCGTCTCCGTTGAAGTTCGATGATGCCAGTCTGCTCTTCAATTTGCTTCTGCAACTTCTTTACTAGGCCGTCTGCACCCAGCTCAATTTGTGCCTTCATCTCATCCCGCTCTGCCAAGGCAGCCTCCGCAATCTGGCGCGCTTCCAAAGATTCATCGTACGCCTGTCGTGCCTCTGAATCTGTATGTAATTTGTCCAAGAGGCTCTGCACGGTAAATGTTAAACCTTGGCGGAGGTCCAGATCGGGTAGCCTGCGATCCATGGCCACGTAGCTAAGCATGGCATCGACGAGCTGGTACATCCGGAGACCATCTTCGCCAGAGTTCTCCCGGATAAGAAGCATGTGCTGCATAGCAGAGAGGAAATAGTCGTGAGCTCGAGTACCTGTAATCCTTGAAGCAATAGCATCTGTGATTTGTAAAGGATCGTTCATGTCTTTGACCTCTCCCTCAATGCTATCCTTCACGCTGCTACTCTCACGCTGCAGAAGATCCTCGTAGTCGATGGCCTCATTCTCGCGGAAGCGCTCAATCTGCTTGTCAATGACCTCATATTGGAAACCTTCCATTTTAGTCATGAGACGCTTGATGCCGCAAGAGGTGAACTGCGCACGAATATGACAGCGCAGCTGTAGATCGTTCTCCGGGGCGTCCACCAACATGTTGATGAGGAGCATAGTTGAGACGGCATACTCCATGAGAAGGTTCTCCATGCCTATACCACCACTGCGGTACTCCTCACTCGCGCCCACCAAACTACCCATCTTTCCACGGCCATCGATCGTCACTTCGACGATACGCATCCAGGCATCAAAGCGACCAGTCTCTCCATGATGATTCTTCACATGGTCCATAGCCTGGAGGACCTTTTGATGGCCCTGGCCTTCCGCCCAATGGCAAAGGAAGGTCAAGACTTCACTGACCAGCTTCCTTGTATTTAATCGGGGAGACAGCAGCGAGCTGACGAGAGCAACAATAACTTGCTGATGAGCGAGGGCATCATCTGCGCCATATTTGTTGTTCATCAAAGCCTTCAGGCACTTGACAATATCGTATTCACGATCCAAGTCCTTGTCACCAGTCGGGGGTGCAGGAACAGGACCTGAGGCTTTCCTCCGGTTGATCTTAGCAAGAACGTTGGTCAGGGCGATTTGGCCTTGTGCTTCGACAAAGGCTTTCACCCAACTGATTGGTTGTGTGCGCAGACTGACGCTCAAACTAGCTAATTGTTTCGACGTGATTGAGTCATCCATAACCTTCTTCACGTACCACTCCGGGCTTCCCTCTTCATCGGCCCGCTCCAGAATCCCCGACGGCCCATCGTGACCATGGGTCTGCCGGGCATTCTGCCTGCGCTTCTGTTCACCTTGAATTTCCGTCAACCGATCTTGATGAACCAGCGTCCACTTTTTCGAGGCTGGATACGCAAGCATCTGCCGTTTGGCCTGCTCAGGCAAGTTCTGCCAACCTCGCTTCTGCATCAGTTCCAGGAACAGCTGGTCCACAATCCGATCGTCCCTTGGACGGGTCAGGTATTGCTCGGGGTTGGCTGGTAACTTCGCGGGTTGCGCAGGCTGGGCCGACTGCCATGCAGCCTGCGCATTAGAAAGTCGGCTGGATGTTCCATTAGACGAGTAGGTATTGCGGTCGGCAGAGTGCGAGGTTGTCAGCGTTCGAGAAGATCCGTCCGACGAGAAATAGCTCGAACCTCTAGTGTCCCGGGTGTTGGAGGAAAGTGACGAGTGGACACTAGCTTGGTCGAACGATATTCGGGAATGCGACGAGGAATCTACCGTAGATGAAGAGTTGTGACTGAACCCCGTGTTGGCAGCCGAACTACCCGGTCGTCCCCATTGTTGATACCGAGCACCTTTGTCCCCCGAAGAGCTTCCCGCCATTGTTACATTAGACGCATGTGGCGGCGGACGAGGGCCGGTGGGGTGAGAATAAACATTATTGTCCCGGATAGTGGCCGGGTTCCAAGCGGGATACTGATGGAAATCACTGCCTCCCTTGGCAAGATGATTCGGGGATGGTTCTTTGCGTGGCGAGGTTTCGGCTTTAGAGAGATAGTCGATAGGAATCGGCGACTTGGTGTCGGCGGGGAGACTTTCATAGGGGATAGAGGTAATCACACCGGCCGTCATTGACAGCGTTGCAGGATCGATGTCGTTGGAAAAATCCATAGACTGGACGGAGGATCGCTTGGAATGGCGAGAGGAACGAGAACCCGGGGCGCTTCCAGGAGGCGCGAGGGTCTCGAAGCCTGTATGGGCATCGTGGCGATCGTCTACCGGTTTCTCCTTGTGCAGCTTCCTCCCGAAGAATGATTTCCCAGCGGAAGTCTGTCTCGATTTGTCAGGCGCGGACGTGGTGGTTGGCATCTTGACGGACGTCGCTGGGGAGATGCAGGGCGCAGCATGAGCGTAATCCGCTGGGGCAAGAGCGTGGAGGTGGCAGACAGTCGTCGGAGGCTGTAGATTGAGAAAAATCGGTCGCTCTCAATCTCTGCGAAGGCCAGGATCACATCCAGCTCAAGGCGACAACTTATTCCAGACACTCCTGACTAACACTAATTAATAGCCGCTGCGGAGCAGCGTTGGCACGAGGGGGGGGGGGGGAAAGGATGCCACCAAAGACGGACGCTTCTCCCAACAAACAGATGGAGAAGGTGACTTGAAGAAATGAGAGTCAAAGGAGCGGTCTGTAATGACGGCTCCCAGTAGGGCTATCCTACTCTGGCAAATCCCAGGATCGGGCTTTAGTGGCTGGTGTCTTTTTGCACGTCAGGTCGTGGAAGCACGGGCATCAGGGGGGGCAGCACCACTTGAGGCGGCTCTAGAACGCGGTAGGGGCCGGAGGTGTCACGTGAATTACACCATGCATGCCTCAAGAAACTGGCCCTCAATCTCCGATCACGTGGAGCTGTCTCATGCCGGAGACTCTCGGAGATGCTGTCAGTGTCAGTTTCAGGGCAGACCCCGGATTGCTGCCGTTGCTGCAGAAGACCAACTGGTAACTCAGCGTCGGGGGACGGTCAGCCTGCCAGTCACATCGGACTACTCTAAGCGCCGTCGCAGGACATGACAAGTTTCCGCTGTTGATCGGGGCTTATTAGCTTGATTTGGCGCCGTGTGTTTGGCGCCTGTCTATCTACTTCCTTTCCGCTGCTGCCTTGGCCGCGCATTCTCGAGATCAAGATCGTTGCAGGCGAAGGGCGCTGAGCACCACACACCTGCCACGATGGGTTCCGCAACTAACTTTGCCAAAGTATGTCCTCTCTCGAACTCTCCTAAATTCTTCCGAATTCCTTCTAACTGACACTTTCTACTCAGACCATCATCATTCCCGCCGTGATCTCCCTGACGCTTTACCTCCTGTTCTCCTTCGTGATCATCCCCTTCTTCCGTCGCTATCATCAACGATACTCCCAGTACCTTCCGCTCCATACTATCTCCGCACATACTACGACACTCCGGGATCGTATCGCGGATGCTTTGATGCGACGATTTCTTCCGTCGGTCTGGCGACAATCACAATTCGACCAGCACGACAACATCAGTATATACGATGAAGAAGGAGAGATCATGGTAGGGATGGACATGGACCCTTCACGGCGAGAAGCGCTCGAGCGTCGACGGAGCACCGCCGGGGATGCGGAGAGTCGCTTGAGTCGTGAACTGGAAGCGGGGTTCATGGATGATAGTGATGATGAGGAGGGACATGCCCATTCTCAGTCACGTCGCTGAATCTTTTGTTCCTTCTGTACATATTACACTATCATGTAAGGGACCATTGGCGTTTGGGATGGGTAATAAATATAATAGACATCTATTCTTGCTGAATTCACCTTTGCGGTAGTACAGATAGAGCTTAATGCATGTCTGTCTAGATAAACTCAATGGGCACTACTAAACTATCTGCATGCGTACATACCTAGACCAATGCATGCATGCACTGATAATCACCACAATGGAATATCAACTCCGTCCGTCCGGACTACCAACAGCCCCTTACTTCGTCTCCAACCCCACGTCGTAACTCAATTCTCCAACCCCCATCAATCAAATTAACCCCAAACAAACAACCCAAAGAAGAAGGTACTACTACTGTACATACCCTAATTCCCTTCACAAGCAACTACTAACTACCTAGGTCCCCCAGCCGAACCCATCCCGACCTAACTAAACCCAGAACAAGAAAGAATCAAAAGGAAGAAGTAGATCACTAAACCAACAAAAGTATATCATCCGAAACTATACAAACTCAAATATCACTACCAGAGCAAGCAATAACCATAGAGCTAAAAAATCTCTCCCACTAAATCAGAGGCTGGTCCGTGGTTCTGGCCTGCTAGTGCTGGGAAGTTTGCTGTGGTCAAGCTTTGTGCTTTGGGGGGATCGGCGCCCCACTATCTGCTTTTATCTTTCTGCTTGGTGAAGGGTAAATTGTGGGTTTGAATATGGTACTAATGATGAAAAAATGTTGGACTAAAATGACGAGCTGGTGTTCGATACGAGTCCATTGTTGAGTTTGCCGACTGGATTGGTTTTGGTTTGGGGGGCTTAAATTGCTAGTCTGGCTGGAGTGCTGTGTTGGTGCTGGGATGATCGCGGGGAGAGTCCGAGGAGTTACGAGTCTACGTTAGTGAGACAAATTCGAAGAGTAACAGTTTGAACAGTAAAGAAAAAGTTTTGATTTCAGGTATCATAAGCTAATCATAACGGGAGGAAATAGGCCGAATACAGATCGATCCATGCATCTCATCATCATCGTCTTCCATTTAGGCCTTGTTGCGCTGACCGTAGGCCTTGGTAACGTAGTCACCGCCGTGGACAATGAGGTCCTGGGGGCGGTAGTCGTGGCGGCCGGAGAAGTAGCTCTCGAGGATGGCCTTGGTACCGTTGGCGTAACGGATCTGGGCATCGATGGAGGTACCAGACATGTGAGGAACCATGGCGTTGCCGCCGCCCCAGGGGCCCTGGACGGTGCGCAGAGGGTGGTCGGCGGGGGCGGGCTGGGGGAACCAGACATCACCACCGTATCCGCGGAGGTGGCCAGACTTGACGGCCTCGGCGACATCCTCCTTGACAACGATGGCACCACGAGCGGTGTTGACGAGCCAAGAGCCCTTCTTCATCTTGGAGATGAGCTCCTTGTTGAACAGACCGCGGGTCTTCTCGTGCAGGGGGCAGTTGATGGTGACAACATCGCACTGAGCGAGCATCTCCTCGAGGTCGTCGACGCGGCGGCAGCCGATCTCCTTCTCAACCTCGGGGGAAAGGGGCTGGTAGTCGTAGTAGAGGAGCTCCTTGCAGTCGAAGGGCTTGAGACGGCGGAGGACACGCTCTCCAATACGGCCGACGGCAACGGTACCGACGACCTTGCCCTCGAGGTCGAACTCGTTCTTAGCGACAGCGGCAACGTCCCACTCGCCGCGGCGGATCTGCTCGTGGGCGGGAACGAAGTTGCGGACCAGGGTCAGGATGGTCATGACAACGTGCTCAGCGACGGAGACGACATTGCAGCCGGTGACCTCGGCGACGGTGATACCGCCATTGGTCTTGTTGGCAGCGTTCAGGTCGACGTGGTCGGAACCGACACCAGCAGTGACGGCGATCTTGAGGTTCTTGGCCTTGGCCAGACGCTCAGCAGTGAGGTAACCGGGGTGGAAGCTATTGCGGGCAACCAGTCAGCTATTTAGTTCCCGTAGTTGCCAAGTTCCCTGGGCGGATAACTGTGGGTAGTGAAGTGGGTCACATACGGAGTGGTGATGATGACTTCAGCGTCAACGAGCTCCTTGTCGAAGGTCGAGTTCTCGCCCTCCTTGTCGGAGGTGGTGACCAGGGTGTGACCCTGCTCCTCGAGCCACTTCCTCAAGCCGAGCTCGTTCTCAGTGGTACCCAGAAGACCGGGCTGCTGCTTGGCGTGCTCACCGCCCTATTTGGAGATGGTTAGTATCTGGTGATTTTCGGAAAAGAAGAAAGTGATGCTATTCGGGTACTTACGTCATAGAGGACCATAAGAATCTTGCCCTGTAGATTCGCGGAGGCGGTTAGCGTACGTGCACCAGCGATCGAGTTAGCCAGAGGAGCAGCCCGGAATGGGCTGCTGGCCGCGGGCGTGAAGGCTCCCTTGGAGAGAAGGGAGGTGGCAGGTCGCCGAAGTTGGCGGGAGAAAGAGCGCATAAATACCATTGTGAAGATGAGTTAAGTGAAGTGAGATGAGATGATTTAGAGATGGGAAAGTTGGATGCTGGTATGATACCTATGGCAGGAGGGTCAGCTTGAGGTTTAAATACATCCCGGATTTGGAGAACGTGGGAAGTAGTAGTAGATGCATCGGATTGCAAAGTCGGGGAAGCCGAATGAGCGGCAAGCAACAACAGTAGCAACGGCGAACAAGGGGAAGCGGGGAGACAGGAAAGCATGTGTGGAGAAGCAACTATGGATGGCAGGCAAGCATGCCACAGGGCAGAGCCGATGCCAGATGGAGGATGATGATGCAGGGGTGGCTTACCGAAAGCGGCGGTGGAGTTTCAAGAAACCTTGGAGAGAGATGAGCGAAGTATGATGAGGAGACAAGTTGTGATGCGATGAGATGCAGATGCAGAGAGATGAGGATGGAATGAGACTGACAAGGACGGGGAATTTAGCCAAATATATAGACTTCACTGGGTCCTTTTTTTTTTTTACTGTACTATGTAAGTGAGCACCACAATTGCCCCCCTCCATCCCCTCTTGGCCCATATTCAGAAAGGGTGCTCCATCCACATCTGCGATAGGATGGCGCCAAATCCGGATAGGAGGGCACCAAGCAGGCAGTAGTAGCACAAGGCCATCATCTGGGTAGACCCAGCAAGTGGCAGGAGAGGGGGGAAATAGTTTGGGACCCTCAAATCAGCCCCGAGAATTGGAGCAAGGAACTGGAACCCCACCAGCCAGCAATTGAAGTTGGGCGATCGTCCGGGTTGGCGGCAGTTTCGCATCGGCACGGACGACGTTTCGGTCCAGTTGTTGTCTCCGCACGCGGGACAAGTACTACTGTAAACTAGTCTAGTAGCACATAGACAGCCGCGTATGGTCGGATGGCTCTGGGTTAGGTTTGTATAGATCGACTACCGTCGAAAGCTTGAAATCCACACCTCGGGCAGTTGACACATTACGGAGTATACTAGTTAGTATGTATTGAACTACTAAACTACTTAGTAGATGAGCCTTAATTGGAAAATGCAAGCAGTGGTATCATAGCGGTAAAGCGACTAAAACCAATACAACAATACTATTGATTGTATAACCCCAATATCAGTCACAGATTAATTGCCATCCCAACATATGTCCTACTGCAGGGGATTGCTCACGGCCATGCGGGGTTTCAGAAATCTAGAAACCATTGGGAAAAGAAAAGGCATGGCATGCTTAATAAGACTCGTGAGGGGAACCCGAGCCTGGGCCGAGAGTGCCTGCAGGGCCGGAGGTATGTCGGGCGTAGAGTTTCCATGGGGAAACGGAAAACCTGCCAGCCTGTCTGTCATCCGCAAGTGACAATGGCCAAATGGACCTTCCTTTCCTACGGGTATCGTTGAGGGAGGATCTTTTAGCTCAATTCAGTCAATTCTCTTACTATCCACTCTTGCCATTTAGTGTATCCACCGATGTCTGCGGACAGAATTACTGCTTCTGCTGACTTCTTTTCCCGATTGGGATAGCTGTTACTCCCCCTCACGAGGGGTTATCTCTGCATCTCCATTAGCCCATATTCAGACTAGTGGCAAAGCTGCATGAGGGGTAACCCCTCATCTCAATTGGGAACAGCCAAACAGACAAACTAATAGGAACCGGCATGGCCATCCATCCCACCGACTGGGAGACTAAGTCGAATTGCTGCTTGCTGCTGCTACGACACACGAGTCTCGGAACCCCAGGTGCCGTTGATAGCGTGATCTATCTATCTCAGTCTAGCCAGGTCTCTCTAATCTGTCCAAATTGAGAGAGAAAATGACATGAGGGGACCAAAATTCGACTCATGCGACTTCCTCTCAAAAGCTCGTCTCTCCGCAGATAAACCCGCCCGTCCGTCCGCACCCCCCAAAAAGTTGCTTCCATCTTGGAACAACTTGAAATCTAAGCACCGAGCGATTCCCGTGTTTCAGCCGGACCATGGGAGCCCCTGTGCGACCGTGAACAATGCCATCACAACAAGATGGAAGGAAGACAAGGCAGAGCCAGATCCACCTGTCAAGTGTTGTCAAGTGTCAGAAATACATCACCACCACCACTACCTTGGGGGAGGCGCGTCTATGAGGGGAAGCCCGGCTCCACCACCTCCTCACTCTGGAACGGCGCATCGCCTTTCCGGCCACATCACGCGATGGAACCCTCGTTGGCCCCAACTTTTGAGGGGTAGGAAAATACTACCAGTTGTTGGGTAGTTTAGCCACGGCTTCCGGCCTCACGGAGCTTGACTGATCGAAAAATAGGAAATGCGCGCCTATCATCGGGCGGGCGAACGGCCTCCCAATTTCCAAAAAGCTTTTTTTGTTGGCCAAGGTACCAACTATGCGCATATACACACTGACTGGTTGAATGGCTTCGCGGGTTAGGCCTGTCAAATATTGTCGCGATCGTCAGTGTCTCAGAGGAGATGGTTACTTTATTGTTGTTGGCCTTGTTGCCTTTCGTCTAATATACATGCATGGGTCTATAGTTACATGCGCGCTCCCCCAGGGGAGGATTAATTTTCTTTACAACAGCCCGAAATTCCAGAGCACTGTAGGGCCCTGAGCGCTAAAACACCACATTGACCAACTTGCCGCCCTTGACGACAATCACCCGTCTACGCTTCTCCCAATCGTTCTTCTTTCGCAGCCAGAATTGTCCTTCGTCCGTCTCCAAGATCCGATTGATAATCCAGTCTTGTTCCTCCGTGACCGTGCCGCTAGGTTCGGGCGCGGTCGTGGGGGAAAGACGCCGAGGGATCGTGATTGTAAATCGCAACTTGCCATTGATCTGGACGGCGACCACTTGGCCACCGCGGGCAGACAGAATGTCGGCCTCCTCGGGCTTCAGCAGAGGCGTTGGCCAGGGACAGTCAAGGATGGCGGGGACATTGGTGGTGGTGGATGGCTTCCCCGCAGTCACGGGACCATTGAGGATCTCCCAACACTCGGACGCCAGCGCGGGCGCGATCGGCGAAAGCAGCCGGAGCAGGGAAGAAATAGATAGGTAGAGGACCTGCGGCGAAGTGGGCGTCGACGATGACAACGAGTTGGTCAACTTGGTCAGGTCGGAGATAACAGTGTTCAGCCCGTATGGATTTTTCTCAATACAGCTGGTGACGGAGGAAATGGTGCGGTGGGTGGCAAGCACAGCATCCGCATCGCTGTCGCTCAGATCCTGTAGAGAGCTGGGCAAGCCGGTCGCGTGGCCGGAGGAGGCCTCCAAGTCGGCTGGCTGCAGTGTAAACGAGGACGAAGCCAGGCTCTGCTGCGCATCGTTCACCAACTTCCAGAGTCGACCAAACCAGCGCTCAATGCCCACGATCTTCGTTTCGTCCCATTCGAGCACCTCACTGACCGGAGCCGAGAAAAGGACATGGGCGCGAGTGGTATCGGCGCCGTATTTCAATGCACAGCCGGTCGGATCGACTCCGTTGTGCTTGCTCTTGGACATCTTCTCAAAGGACACATTGGGCGTGATCTGGGTGCCCTTGATCAGTGGCTTGTCGGGGCTGGAAAGATCCACTTCGGAGGGGAGCAGGAATCTCCCCGTAGACGGCTCCGAATACGTCTTGCCGTGGACCATACCTTGGGAGAGGAGAGTCTTGAATGGTTCAAACGGCGTCGCGACATTTCCAGCTCGGGCGATTTCCGGGAACAATTCGGATTGGGAGAGGAACTTGTAGATGAATCGGGCGTAAAGCAGGTGCAAGATCGCATGCTCAACACCGCCAATGTAGACATCGACCGGGCGTGCCGCTGACGGCGAAAATGGCTGTGCCTTGTTCTTCGGGTCCAAGAACCGGAGGAAGTACCATGAAGAGTCGACGAAGGTGTCCATAGTGTCGGTATCCCGCTTAGCAGGCCCGCCACAGCTCGGACATTTCGTGTTCACCCACTCATGGGATGACTCGAGAGGGTTGCCTCTCTTGCCCTTCAGCCAGTCCCCTTCAATCTTGGGCAACTTGACAGGGAGCTGGTCATCTGGCACAGGTACAGGGCCGCAATCACCGCAGTGGATGATAGGGATGGGAGCCCCCCAGTAGCGCTGTCGGCTGATCAACCAGTCTCTAAGCCTCCATTGTTCGACAAAGTCGCCGCGTCCGACCTGTTTCAGATCGGTGACAATCTGCTTTTTGGCCTCGCTAGAGTGGAGACCCTCATACTTCCAGCACAAGGAGTTCAGATACCCCTCTTGCGTAAAGGCCTTCGCATCCGCGGAGGGAACAATGCTCGCGTCACCACCATCTGCCCCGGCTTCCCCTTTGGGTCCAACGACAACGGGGATGGAATCGGGGTTCACATTATCCCTGAAGAATGCAAGGTCTCTGGCGTCATGGCCTGGGACTCCCATCACTGCGCCCTCGCCGTAGTCACTAAGGACGTATGGTGCTGTGAATACGGGCAGCTGACGGGCGACATGGGGACTCTCCTTGTCAATAACATGCAGAGGGTGAGAAGCAGTGACGCTGGATAGTTTGTAGCCAGCCTTGGAGTCAGGCGGAAGCGACGCGGCAGTATCCAGGAATTTGCGCAGTTCCGGATCCTTCTCCGCAGCCTCTAGGACAATAGGATGATCCAGAGAAAGGGCGAGGTACTCGACTCCGTAAAGAGTATCAGGTCGCGTGGTGAAAACATCAATATCGATGTCTGTGCCATTATTGCCATTGACAGTCACAGGGAACTTTATCTTGGCACCCTGCGATTTTCCAAGCCAGTTCCGCTGCATGGAAAGGACCCGCTCCGGCCAGCCGCCCGCCAAAGAGTCGAGATCCTTCAAAAGCATTTCCTTGAAATCCGTGATACGGAAGAACCATTGCTTCAGCTTCAGCTTCTCGACCTTTGCTCCCGAGCGCCAAGAGAAGCCATTGGCATCGACCTGCATCAAGAGTGAGCCTTCTTATTCCTGTGTCATCCATGCGAAAACACCCACCTGCTCATTAGCCAGCACCGTCTTATCAACCGGGTCATAATTGACCAGCGCTTCAGCCTGGTACGCAAGGCCCTTCTCGTATAGCATAAGGAATATCCGCTGGGTATGTTCGTAGAACTCGGGTGCGCACGTTGCTAGTTCCTGCGTTTTAGACCACCAACATGTCAGCAAAGCTGGTAGTCATGTAGGCCGCACATCCAATACACATACCCGGTCCCAATCGAAAGAGGTTGAGATACTTCGTAATTGCTCTTTCATCTTTGTTATATTCGACTCCGTCCATTCCGCAGGGTCTATCCCCCGTTCAATCGCCGCATTCTCCGCCGGCAGGCCAAACGCATCCCAACCCATTGGATGGAGGACCTCATGTCCGCGCATCCGGTAAAACCTAGCCAGCACATCGGAAATCGTGTACACGCGCAGATGACCCATGTGCAACGTCCCCGACGGGTAGGGGAACATTGACAGGATGTATGATTTGGGTTTTGCATCTCCGTCGGCCGATGCCTTGGAGGGCGGCTTCAATGAATCTGTGTGCCATTTTTCCTGCCACTTTCTATCCAGGGCCAACAGATCGAGTTTCCTGGAGATTGATGTCGCAGCTGCGGAGGTTGTCGCATAACGAGAAGGAATACCGGTCGGTCGTGAAATCGGACGAGATGCGCAGTTCCATCGGGCTGGGTGTGAGAGCGCCGACCGTGTCGGGCTCAATCGAAATCGTAGTAGGGATTGCATGTTGGTCGTATAATCATTATGCCGTGGGATAGGAGTGTTGCGCCATTGACTGGCGTGGATTGGTGGGTTGGAGAGCTGGCAGTGGTGGAATCTCCGTCAAGATTTCTTGATCGGATGGCTGAAGTCATATCGGCGGATCGGCATCGCCCGATAGGGAATAGTGTCAGCAAACAAGCAACATTGGTAGATACATGAGACTGTCAGGAAGTTACAGCATAGATTAAACAACCCTGTTGTAGCTTTTCGATGAGCGTCACGTAAGATTAGTACTAGTTAGTAGTAATAATCTCTAGAATTGTTCGATCATCGCACGGCTACTACTAGAGGCGAATCTACTACTGGTACTAGTTATAGGTAAGTTTCCTGCGGGAATATATATCCACAGCTACTTGGTACTGTAGTGACACTGAAGAAGAGACTGAATCATTGGGACTCACCAATGATATTACTCAACTACTACCAATATCATGAACATGCATTCTAGGTATGAGTACTAGTAAGCATCCCAGTATTCCACACATGACCAACTCCAGTGAAGAAGCAATAATAAATGTGCATTCCGATCGGGGACACTTTCATACTATTGATGGACTGGTCTTGCACGTCGCCCTGCGAATGTAGATAATGAGCTTGAAGAACACGCTTAACGCCCGAAATAACAGAGCTGCTTCTGGGTGAATTTCTTGTGCTTCCCTATGAAGTCGTGATGATCTTCTTGTACGGCCATGGCCGCAGAGTGCCTATGACATTGAGATCACATCTATTGACAAAACTAGAATCATTGAGTCGGAAAAAGTGTACACATTGGCGGATTTGAGAAGCTCGGATTGGAAAAGAACTCGTAAGTAGCTGGTTGGACTAGGGCACCATCATCAGAGCCAAATTGCTGGCTATGTACTCTAACAACACCAGTTCTAGCTATGATATCAGATCACCTTGCGGAAGATCATGACGAGAGAAGAAAGAATGCGACCAATAACGATGAGGTCTCTATCGTCTTAAGTTCAAGGGATTGCAGGCTCGGCAGGTACCCGTTGTGCCTAGAGACTTTAGTAGTATCTAGAATCTCGCACCCATCCGTCGGGCTCGGAGACTTGCCGTAGTCTCGTTGATTCTCAAGCTCCGACTCGCCATCCACCCACCGCATGTACTGGAATTCCCGTCCGCATCGCCAAGATTGGATCTAGATAGAGCTTCCCGTCTCGATCCCATCTGCTTTTACTGGACCAGACCCTTTCTTTAGACGCGGGATCGTGAATCTCATGGCCCACGTATTCATGAACACCTGTTCCACGGAATCACGCCCTGAAGAATTTAACAAGGCGGCCTAGACATTCCAACTGAGTAAGTACCTACGGGGCTCCACTCACGGAGTACTCCGCGTGACTTTCCAGATTGATCAAGAGAATCACGAGCAGATTCTATTTTCTGACTCAGTTTATGAAGGCTCGGTTTCTGGATCAGCCACCCTCGGCACGGAAGGACCTCTATGAGGAAACTGGCCTCCTTTTTCCAGTGTGAATCATCGCTTGTTCGGATGGCAGCTCCTCTAACTAGTCCGTCCATTTAGGGGTAAATGGAAAAAGGAGAGCCATTGTAGGGGAAATGTTTCTATCCTTAGGGTTCCATATTGCGGCTGGAGGACGGATAGCGCTCTAGAACCTTTGCATCATCGCTCTCGTGTGCGTACCGAGCTATTGGTGGCACACGAACCGGCCCTTCATATAGATGACCAGCAAGCCACAGCAAGCCGGCAACTTATTCCAGACATGGTGGTAATATAGAGAAGCCGTGGGATTTA